AGAAGCAGCAGCAGAAGCAGAAGCAGAAGCAGAAGCAGAAGCAGCAACAGCAACAGCAGCAACAGCAGCTGTGCAAGCAAAAGCAGAATGATAAAAGATAGCAGCAAGGCCATGCTGATGGGTGGTGTGATGGCACCCATGGGGGAGAGGGGGAAGATGTGTAAAGAGGAGAAGACCTATAGCAATGGGGAGGAGGGAAGACCTGGCAGTAGTGGAGCCATGTGTGTGTGGGGGGGTACGTTGTGTAGTGTAGTGGGTTGGTAGGAGTAAACGGTGGAGGAATGGTAGGAGATGTGCATGGTTATGATAGGGGCCCCACTCATGTCGGTCAAACATTTTGCTGAGAGCTGAGTGCCGGATCATATGATGCATCTCATCAATCATCAGAGGTACAGGCAAAGCAAGTGTAGGGAACAGGGAGGGGAAAAAGAGGGGGTGTGGGGTGCTGGGGAGGAAAGGGGGACAACGGAAGAGGCCGGTAGAGAATGATACCTTTACAATATTCCAAATCGAGGATGCCTCCACAAACGACATAACTGATTTATCGTGGTGATCTGGTGTTGTCGTCTTCCACGCATGTTTTGAGCATGTAGGGGAAGCGGCGGCATACATACATACATACATACATACATACATACATACATACATACATACATACATACATACATACATACATACATACATACATACATACATACATACATACATACATACATACATACATACATACATACATACATACATACATACATACATACATACACACGTCCGCGCCCGCATGGAGAGAAGCCCATGGGTCACACAAGCAATAATGCTCATGTACATGCACAGCATCTACAGAGGATACAACGCAGTGCCACCACACATTATTTTGCAGTGCCTTGGCCCTTGCTTGAACTTTGTGTGTTGCTGCTTGGAGGTGCTGATTGTGCGGTTGGGGCATCACTCCAAGCGGTAGTTGAATGCAGATCCGTGCAGGGTGCACGTCACGAGGGTGCAGGGTGTGTGGGTTAATAGCGTGCATACCAGGGCGCAAAGCACCCCTATATATGCTGCTTTGCGAGCTGGCATTAACCGTGGATGTGCGCAATACTTTGCGAGGCCATAAGGCTTATCCAGGAAACACTTTAACGCTCGGTCGTACACCAGAAGGATAGACTTGTTTAGGCTTCTCGATGGCCTGTGAAACATTTCATGTGCGCTATGTAAGCAAAAAAGCTATTGCAGCAAAGGCTTATTTGTAACGGCCCATCATCATTCCTTAAAATCGCGCGTTTGCATCACCGGCAAAGCCTGGCAAACCGGCAGCCTCTGCAGGTTGTGTGTGACTGCAGATAGCCGTTTAGGTGTGGAACTGAAAATGTCTTGTCTGTGAATGTCAAGTGAAACCAGGGGGGAGCCACCGGCTAAATTTTAAATATGACAGGGGCCTTTTGGGTTGAGTTATTGTCATTGGTGATGGCTTTTGACATTGTCTATGTGCTGTACTCCAACACATCGAGGACTCCCTTCCCCTCCCATCTGCCCTCCCTTCTGCCCTCGCCTGCGCCGCCAGCGCAGCCCCGCCCTTCCCTCATCCGCCCCCCGCAGCGCCAGCCCTCAC